AATTATTGGATTTCAGAAAGCCGTAAAAGCTTATGTTCCTAGATCTTTTCACGCTGCTTCAGATGAATTGGGTGTTGTGAGAGACTACTAAGGTGGGGTAGCCATCCGAGGATGGGATATTCCTCCTTTCAGAAGGCAATTTTGAATTACATAGAAATATTGGTCAAGTTCAAAGGTCACTTACAAAGGAAGAATCAATAAAATGCAGAACGCCCTTACTAACTAGGCTGCCTTCTGGAAGCTTGGGAGTTTGTATCAAACTATAGTTCCTTTGCATTATAAGGACAAGTCGTTTCTTGTTTTTCCTTCTTTTTTTATTTTTTATTTTTTTTTTTTAAGAAAATAGCAGGACGACTTAAAAACCATATAGATAAAGGTCCCCCAAAAAACAAAATTCTTCTTCTGGAGGTAAGGAACTGCAGTACAACTGGATAGATATTTGAACGAGACATTATTTTTTAATGTGGTATTTTTAGTTTGTTGATACATTTAAAGAATACCACACCTCTTTATGAACTAGTAAAAGAAAAGTGAAAGCCACAACAACCAAATTTGGCTACTATGTTTACTCGCATTACAAATTGTTAAAATATGCCATTGACATCGTCATCATATACATTCTCAAAGAGGGTAGTTTATAAAAATCCATTATTTTCCCCTTGCGAATCTCGAGGAGAGTGATTCAATTGTAAAGTCGCGGACTATTTTATGATTTGACCAGTCAATTAGCTTCTTCTGCCAAGCTTAAAAACTCCTTTAGGGAGCAGAATGCAACTCTAAACATCAGATTAGATAATAATAACATAACCATTCATTAGTTACAGAAAGAAAACTATTTGATTGAAAAAAATTCTATGAAATTGATAGGCTATATCGGTGTTCACTCCAAATAACGCCAAGAATCCTATTATGGTTTCATATAACTTCCACCAAATATATATATATTTTTCTTTTTTCATTGAGAGTTTAGTAATGGCAGGGTGCAAGATATTCTAGGCCGTTCGTTTTTGCATGATCTTTGGAAGAAAACGTCAGGAATCTAAAAATAAGTTAGACATACTAAGAGAAACTTCTATATTCCAATGAGAAGACTAAACCAGTTTAAGTGAGCATACTTGCCATTTTATGTCCTCAAGAACAGCTGTTGCACCCCTGAACATCTGTAGGAAAAATTGAAAGAATGAACTCTTCAGGATGTTTTGTATCATGATTCATAAATGAACAAGACATAGGTTACAGTAATACCAACCGTTGACCCACAATCACCATCACCCACTTTGCTATCCCATTCATTTAATGCGTCCTTGAGATTGATCACTGCTTTGGCAGCTGCCTCAATTGCAGCCTCTAGGATGAGGCCTTGTTGATTTAGTTGAAGGGGTCCACCAAATGTCTAATTAAAGAGTACAAATAGCTTTGAAGTGTGGTAACTTTCTAAAACATTTATATAACATAAATTTGTCTCAGTTTAATTAGGGATTTTATAACCATACCTCCCCGTTCTTTGTAGCAAGAGCTGGTGGTGGTATTGGAACAGGTATTTTGGCAGGTGGGTGATTGCCTACAGTAAAGTACAATACCTCATTCAAATATCTATCCCATAGTAGAAAGAGTATCTAACCAAAGAATCATTAGAACAGAAAACATCCAAGTATAGAAGCAAAGTATATTTCACACTTGACACGGACCATCAGCACCAATGGGCCAACAAGGAGCCTTGGTTGCAGCATCCAACCGTTGCAAAACAGCTTGATCTGATTTCATGATGGTAATTGAAAAACCTGACAGGCATGCAGTTTCAGAGAACCTACCTTCTTCCTTTTGAAACTATCAATGAAAAGTTAACTTCTTGTTGAAGGAAAAAAAAAAAAAAAAAAAAAAAAAAAAAAAAAAAAAAAAAAAAAAAAAAAAAAAAAAAAAAAAAAAAAAAAGGAACATTCTTTCACGCAGAAAGTAGCAAACCTGCCATATCAAGAGAAGTCATAAATGAACCAGTGTACATTCTGTCAACAGCCAACCCATGCTCTAGCTGCAACTTAGGAACTGCTTTCCCAGTTGCTATCATTAATTCCATCATTGGGGTAGCACCCAGTCTAAATTGAAAGGAAAAACGAGCAAATGAAGTCGTCAAAATTCTTACATCCTTGATGGTGCTTCATCACAAGATTCACAACAGAATAATATATTTCATATTCAAATACTACGAACAAGGTTTGAAATTGAATTGATTCTTTGGAGTACTATGCACTCAAATGTATGTTGCATGTCAAAATAATATGTGGTATAAAGACTGTTGGTTATCATTCTTTTTAGCAGTACCCATATATTGGACTTTATTTTATATTCATTTGATCTTTTATTTATATTGAATTTAGGGTTCAAATTGATGAAAAGGTTGGCACTCAAAGCTAAATTTATGTTTTGAATGATCCACTTTAGTCATCAGATTTCAAGTTTACCACAAACGCACAAAAAAAAAAAAAAAAAAAAAAAAAAAAAAAAAAAAAAAAAAAAAAAAAAAAAAAAAAAAAAAAAAAAAAAAAAAAAAAAAAAAAAAAAAAAAAAAAAAAAAAAAAAAAAAAAAAAAAAAAAAAAAAAAAAAAAAAAAAAAAAAAAAAATAATAATAATAATAATAACACCCCAAATAGTATTAACAACATAGGGAGAGAATTTATTTTTATTTTTATTTTTATTTTTATTTTTTCCCCATGAAAACAACATAGGGAGATAGATTAAAGATAAAGGGGAGAATGGAGGAGAGGCAACACCCGAAGACGTAATGGAACTTGGCTAAGTCAAATCAACTACTAGATTTGTTACTGAATTAGTATGTGGTTTCTTACAAGCCAAGACACCAGCCAAATGTTGTTGCACTAATCTTCAACACTTCTGTATCCTTCTGAAATTAGTGGCATATTGCACTCTTATCACACGCAAGACTAATGTAAGTTTTACAATAAATAAGATTTTTGACTTATTTGGTCAAGGATTTCTACTGCCTATAATTTTGAAATGTAAGAGTAAGCCTTAGAAAGTTCACAATTGAGCTACGTTATTTGTGCTCTAATGCTTGTTTTTATCCCCAGCCGAGCATTGAGATTGATGAATTCAACCAGCCTTCATTGAGAGAAGGGATTCTAGGCTTAGGATTTCGAAGTTGCCTGAGGGTAGGTTTCTCAAAGTTTTTTTTTCTCATATCCTTTGCGCTCCTTCTCTTTCCACAGAGCCTCTGCATTCTCCTCTCTTTAAAAGATTAATTTCTAAGAAAGTGAAATGTTTTGTCTAGAAAGAGAGTGAACACTCAGGGTCGTCTCCAGAGACTTTTCTTTTGTGTAGGCCGTAATGATGTGTTCTTTCAAGGAAGCAGGAGGAGGGCCTCAACCATCTTCTGTGGGAGTCCCATTAGTTTGATCCCATTGGAGTTGATTTTGTAGGACATTCAGGGTTGTTCTGGCTCGTAACAAAAGGGTATTGCTTTATGATTGAGGAGGTACTCTTGAACCCTCATTTTCACAAGGGAGGAGAGTTCAGTAGCAAGATTTGTTTTGCTTTTTTGTAGGGTATTTGGCTTGAGAGGAACTTTAGAATCTTTAGAGGGTCTAAGAGATCGAGTGAGGATCTTTGGGAGTTAATTAGATTTAACTCGACTTTGTGGGTGTCCTCTAATTGGCCTTTTCATAAGTATAAGCTTGGCTTTATTCTTTTGGATTGGGATCCGTTATTGTAATTAGTTTTTGCAATTTTCTGTGGGTGGGCTTGTTTTTTGTATTCCCTTTAATAGTCTTTCATTTCTTTCAATGAAAATTCAAGAAGAAAACAAAAATCTATGAGGGAATAAATCCTACAAGTTTACCATTAAATAAACAAAGGATATAAATTTATAAAAGTAAAACCTACCTGAAGGTAACTCCAAAACCTCTTTACTTCATTAAATGAGGAAGTCTCAATCTAATTGATTATCAATCCTATCAAAAACAACTATTCATTATATAGTTCAAGATTTTGATGTTTCATGGGAAAAGATCCGTAGCTTCTCTTTCCACTTCTTAGAAACATTTTTCCATGCACCGTCAAGTATATAATTTTATATCGAACCTTTATGACTGACAGGAGTTCCTTTACTTTGGCATCCCCTCTTCTTTTAATTCTCTCCATCAAAATTGTGCTTCTTACCAAATTTATTTATGACCTAGTGAGACAGATTTTCCTTAACTACTGATTGCAGTTGCCAAATATATTTATGACCTTGAGAGACAGATTTTCCTGAACTAGTGATAGCATTTTAATTCATCCATATATTTACCTCAGTGAGGCATAATTCCTTGTCATATTTCCTCATATACTAGAGGTGATTAAGACTTAAAGGCACAATAAATCTCAGCGACCAATGATTCGAAAACTGCAAATTCAGCTATTTATTGGATTATAAAAGCCATATATATACCAAAAAGATTTTGATACTTACTAGGAGAAAAATTCGTCGTTTGGTAAACCATTATGCCAATTTATTTTAATTAGAAGACTTCTCCATCCCTCAATATTTTAAACCTTTTTTCTAAAAAAAAAAACATTTCTGTTTCTCCTCCAGTATAATTCCAGCCAGAGACCAAAGTTTCCACACAGTGATAGAATTTAATTTCACATAATTTTATAAGCGAAGAAAATTCTAGTGTCATATTGACAAATTCGAAATTCTCAATAACATGATGGTTGTTATCATAAACTAGGAGGCACATAACAAAAAAATAAGGTATAAATCTGTCGACCTACCCGTTAACCATGAGCACCACCCTATTACCTCGTGTTATTGGAACATAGTTAGTTTCCTGTAGATATTACAAAATTATTTAAGAACAAGAATGCCGGTAAAATTGAACCCAATTGTTCTTTTTAGGTAAAAAGAATTTTGAGATAACGAATGTACTCATAGAAATGTAAAATACAAGGTTATAAACTCTATAATGTATGTTTCGGGTACCCTATATAGCAAGACAACAAATATGTGAATTATGGATTTCCATGTCTAAAGACTCGAAAATATATGTAGTCACGAAGTTGATACATCAATCATGATATATAGTCCGTTAATAATAAACACATTATTTTTCAGGAAGTAAGAAGACAGAATCAAGGCATACAATACAATATACTTTTCTTTTTTCTTTTAAGAATCTAAGCTTTCACCAAGAAAAATAAAGAAGAGTCGACTTCTAACAGTTAATTATGAACAATTGCTCCACAAACAATACCAACATTGTTCTGAAGGGTCGGGCAGTAGCTGAATATTTTGAGGAGTTCTGCTTGAAACAACTTAGCAGAAATCGAGAAGCATCAAATTGCCAGATTAGTTGATGGACTGATAAAAGACATCAAGAAAAAGGTACTACAGCCAATTTATTACCTCATAGAAGTTGTGGCATTGGCAAGGAAGGTTGAAGACAATAGTTCCAGCAAGAAAATGGGAGTTAATACTAGAAGACTACCATGGGGCTGAAACAACAAAGGTACATGAGAAATGTGGCTGACACACAAAGAAATGGCAAACCGGTGGCCCCTCCACTAGTAACACTGATAAAGAAAAAGAAGAGGCCTTCCAACGACCAGCAGCAAGCAAAGAATATTGATGGCACGGGCACAAAGAAATCCAACATCTATAAATGGCCAACTATGGATAAGTGCTTTGGTGTAGACAACAAGGACGTCCATCCAATGAATGCCCTCAAAGGAAACCATAGCCATTTCAAGAAAACGATCAAGATTATGAAGAGGAGGCCAAAGAAGAAGTTTCTTACATGGAAGCCGATGATGGAGAGCATTTATCCAGCGTTGTCCAAAGAATATTACTCACCCCCACAAATGATTCTCATCCACAATGACATGCTCTCTTTAGAATGCGTTGCACTATTAATGGTAAGATTTGTTATGTGACCATTGATAGTGGGTGGAGTGAGAACATTATCTCACGAAAAGCCGCACAAATTCTCCACTTGAATACGGATCATAACCTAAATCCATATAAGGTAAGCTGGATTTGAAAAGGTGGGTAGGCACAAGTCAACGAGATCACAAATTACTGGATTTTATTCCCCTTTGCTTATACCACAATCCATTTGGGAGGATCTTTTGATGGTCTTTGTATTAGACTTGCCTAGGACACAAAGAGGATACAATTCTGTTTTAGTGGTTGTTGGTAGGTAGAGGAAGGTGACAATTTTTTACCTAGCATAAAACTTTGAATGCTCTTGCTATTGATAATTTGTTTGTTAAAGAGGTTGTTTGATTACATGGTATTCCTTAGTCCATAGTTTCAGATTGTGATGTCAAATTTTAAGACATTTTTGGAGGACTCTTAGGAAGAAGTTTGGCATAGGTTTGAAGTTAAGCTCGACGAGCCACCCACATGAGGCACAAACTGGGGCTACAAATCGAATACTTGATAATTTGATTTGTTGTTGTTGTGGAGACAAACCACGTCAATAGGATCTCGCACTTCCTCAACTGGAGTTTGCTTATAACCATATGAGGAATAGAACAAAAGAAAAGTCACCATTTGAGGTTGTTTATACTAAAATTCCTTGGACACTATTGATCTTGCTACATGATTATCTTCTTTGAATGTTCATCAGGAAGCAGAGGCAATGGCTGACCGAATTGCAAAATTGCACAAGGAGGTACATGACCATTTGGAGTCTGCTTCCACTTCCTATGCTCGAAGATGTTTGAGATTGGGATCTTGTCATGGTACGTTTTCCAAAGTCTAGGCTACCCTCGAGTGTTCATGGCAAGCTCCATCAAAAGAAAATTGGACTCTTTCCCATTCTTCAACGCTATGGTACTAATTAATGCCTACAAGATTGATATTCCTTCGCAATTTAAGATACATTCCACCTTCAAGGTATCCCTCACAGCCTACCATGCACCTAATGGTTTTCAGCTAGCTTCTTAACTCACGGACAAGTTGTTCCAAGGGGGAAGGAATTGATGTAGTACAGGAACTACTGTATAGCTACTGATTTTTATTCCCCTGTTCCCATGTTTTACCCTCTGTTTTAGTAGTTTCTGGTTGGTTACCGTGGTTAGTCTTTATTTTTACAGCAAAAGTTTAAGTGTTTACATTCAGGTAAAACAGGTTTACCTTGGATTAAAAGGCTAGTTTTGTAGCGTTTATATAGGGGTTCCAAGGTTGAAATTGAGGTATTATTCAAATAAAAATTGATTCAAGTTTCTCCGAGAATTGTGCTATGTTACAGAACTTAATACAAGGAAACAGAAAATTGAAAAACTCCCCAGCTGGAAGTCGCAAGTTGACAATGTATAACACGTGACCTATACTTTCTTCCACCTAAGTGAACTAGAGTTCAAGAAAGCCAGAAAGCGTTGCAAGAGAAAGAACTTATACCATCATTTATCCTCTCATAAACTTATCTGGTTTCCTATTTCAAGTTTCTAGCTAGAAAAGTGAACATCTAGAAGAACACTAGAAGCACATAAATTCAGGAAATATAAGACCATCAAGGTGTTTCTAAGGGTATGATGGGTAATGACCACATTCATGGTGAAAGAAACGAAAAGCAGAGCTCATTGTAATAGTAAAGCCCTCTCCTTCCTTCTTCATGGGATTGATTAGGGCAAAGGTGTGGACATGGGAATGATGAGATGCAGATCATCTTTTTCTTAATTGTTCGTTTATCATTCTGGGGATAAGTTATTTATATTTCTCGATTGATTGGATAAAAGAAAATATTGATCATGTGTGTGAAAGACTTGGAAGCTTAAGGTGGAACATTCACATTTTTAAATAATAATAATAACAACAATTTAAAAAATTAGTATACTACTAAAGCAATCTTAAGTAACAATAGAAGAAAAGAGGGTAACAAAAGCTTTTAGATATTAGTCCATGTTTTTCATTACGCAAGACTAGGTCTCTAGTTGTCAGTAGGATTTCTAGTCCTACTTCTCCGTTGAAATTCATTTTCATAATTGCAAATTTATTTCTTATAATAAAACAAGGGGGAGGCCTAAAGAGGATGTTCGTGAAGAGAAAAAGTTCTTAATAAAGCATAAGGGAATGTCTTGTTGTATACTTCTCGCCCCTTCTCAAAAAGATTGAATATGGGAAGAGATATGGCATGTCCCTAGGAGAAGTGGGAGAACCCTTCAGAAAAGGGACTATAATTGAATGTACCGTAGTTTCATTCCTATTTATTCATGTGTACTCCATTAAATGCTTGCTTCAGACTGTGATAAGAAAACAAGAACAAAAACTCTCTTTTTTGGCATTTAACAAGCTACATGTGCAAAGGCTGAGAAAACTGTGATTAAACTACCAGCATACCGGTGATAATATTTGTTTGAGAACATGAGATACTATCACGTCAACTGGCTGAAGGTCAGCCACAGCAGCACCGGGTTCACCATGCTGAAACAAATCAAATTTCTAGCTTAAACATGAGAAATCATAAATAGTAACAGTCATAATTCAGAGACAAAAATGTATTGAGCCCAAGTAAAATGAATGGAAGTGAAGGGAAAAAAAATGTTGAACGTCAGATCAAGAATCTTAGTTCTGTGAATTAGGTTCTCAGTCACTGTTATAAGGAGTGTAAACGTTTAACATGCAGAATAAGCACGAAGTGTTTAGCTTTTTCTATTTTTAATCAAAGACAGATAATTTTATACGGTAGGGTACCTAATACAAAAGAAGGGGAGATGAGATAGCCCCACAAGGCTATGGGTTAAAAGGACTCCCAGAAATGCTTTAGTTTTAAAGATGAGATAACTCAAATAATAACCTACAATTCCAAGACCAAGTTCCATTTTCCCTGGGCCCAAGCGATCTGATGTGACCTGGCCAGGCAGTGTGCAAACTGACAATGCGACTCCCATCGTTCCAATCATGTCAGCCGCATGTTTTGCTTCTGTGGCAACATCTAAAAGAGAGAGCCCTGCAGCAGCAGCAGCTCCAGCAACCTTTCCTCGATACAATTCAAGGAAAAATAATGTGAGCAAAAGAAGTAGTTGTTCCTGTCTGTATACTTGCAAAGAATAGAACAATAAGTTCAACGCTTAATATAATTATTGAGACTCGATAACACAATCTAAACCATGAATAGTGGAATAAAGAATTACAAAACATCCCTTAAAGAATGGGCAGAGGGTTAGCCTCCAACTAGGAATACTTGATACAAAAAGAAGTCTAAGCCCATCTACAAGCTCAACAGGTGACGTTAATGCAAAAACTTCCTTATCCACACACACACAAGAAAGAGAGAAGAAGAAGAAAAAAGAAAGAAAAGAAAAGAAAGCGTCATGATAAACTGAATTAGAAAATATCAAATTCAAGATGAAAATATTGTCTTATTTTAAAAAAGTAAAAACAAGTTCATGTTATTTAGAGGTCTGACCTATCACAGGCAAGGAAACTATCACAATAATCTAATAAATACAGTTAATGAGGAAAAATCAGGTATCGTTAATGCATTGCAGGACCACTGCTCACATGATCAGCCTCTATTACTGCAGAAAGGCCTTGGATTCAACTGTCTTTTCCAATGCTCCTCCTACAGTCAAAGAAATTACTTTTCAGACCACTGAGATGCCTGTTGGCGATTCCCTTAACGCACTTGAGTCTTCTAAGTCCCTAAGTATTAAGAATTGTTTTATTGCAGCTTATCTCGTATGCTATACTCGAAGAAAAGTGCATCATTCCTCAGCTTCTCCATTCTCCAAGATTTCTCCTTTGAATCCAATCAAAGAAAATGTTCAATTATTTTGGTCTCGTATGTTCAGAAAATTGTCCTTCAAAATTGCAGTCGACAAGAATTTAATGAAAAGATCATGATTGTATTTTCAGTGGAGTTACTTTTTCATCAAAGCATCCTACTCCGCATTCTCTTTCATATTTTGTTGATGAATTTGACATTGCGTCTTAAGTTAGTTTGTGTAGTGCGGAATCTGTCATTCAGCCTATGGAGAATAAAATTGATGATACTGGTGTAGAAGATTCTTTTGATGATGAGTTAGTGTCATTATTTCATGAAAGAGACAATGTCATCCCTAATTACTTCTTCATCAGTGTCCGGAAAATTTGATTCTCTTATTGAATCTTGTGGTCTTGAGATGCGTGAAATTGCTCCAATGGATTCATAAGGAATTCGTTTTTTATGCTTGTTTGTTCTCTTGAGGTTTGGGTTCAGTTATTTTCTCTTGGTGTTTTGGGCTCAATTTTGCTTCTCCTCTGGGTGGTTTGTCTATTTGAAGATGTCTTTGGATCCATTTTCTGTGGGCGGGCTTTTGTGTTGTGCTTGGTTATTCTGGCTCTTTTATTGCTATTTCTCTTTGTTTTGTTCATCGGTGTTCATTCAATCTATGAATTTCATTTCTTTTTTTTTTGTCCATTATTGAGTCTCAGTAGTGGCTCATATTGTGTTTCATTCGGTTCATTTTTTCACTCCCTTGTGGAGTTTATATCTTTGAACATTTGTCTCTTTTCATTTATTCAATCAAAAGTTCTATTCTTCTTTTAAATAAAAAAGGAAAAAAAAAAATTACAATAACGGTTTACAATAAATATTACTAGAAAACATAAAACCAATACTCCCACTCAAGCTAGTTTGAAGATGTCTTCCATAGCGAACTTGTTTATCAAATTATTGCATATTACTCTTGCATTAATTCTGTTTTATAAAATGTTTATCTATCTCAATATGTTTGATCCTATCAAGTAGAACCGAACTGTGGGTTATGAAGATGACAGTTTTGTTACCACAGTAAATATGCATAGGTATTCTTTAGAGAGCGTCAACTCCTCAAGAATTCTTTTTATCCATATATTCTCACAAATACATGGACTAAAAACTCTAAACTCTACTTCACACTACTTCTTGTTACTACATTTTGTTTTTGGTTTCTCCCGATAACTAGGCTGCCTCCAATAAAAGAGCAATAACCAAATTTAGATCGCTATCTACTATACCATCTTGCCAAACAGAACCAATGTAAACTTCAACTTGCAAATGACCAAACTTTTTAAACAGTATCCTTTGTCTGGATTGAGCCACAAGAGCGTAGGAAGTGGCTTACCATGCTCAATGCAAAGGCAATATCAGAACGTGTGTGAGACAAAGAAATGAGTCTATCCACAAGTCTAATATTTCTCTTTATTTTTAATCTTTTCATCTGATGCAACTTGCAACTTCAATTCAGCTCAATAGGAGTTTCAACTATTTTACAACTACTCTGCCACCAAGAAAACTTGTCTCTTTAAGTTAATAATATAATTCCTCTTATATTCGGCTCAATAGGAGTTTCAACGACTCTACAACCAAGAAAACTTGTCTCTTTAAGTAAGTCAATAACATATTTCCTCAGGTCAACAAAAAATTCCTTTTTTGATCTAGTGAATTTCATCTCTAGGAAATACTTTTAAAGTAACCAGATCCTTAATTTGAAATTTACTAGTTAGCCTTCTTTTCAAAATAGTCAATCTGTCTTCATCATTACCTGTGAAGATAATATCATCAACAGGCACAATCAACATGATAACTTTGTCATTTCCGCTGTGATTATAAAACAATGAATGATCTGCTTGATTTAAAAGAAAACCATTGCTAGTGACTGCTTCCTCAAAACATTCAACTCATGCTCTAGGCAGCTATTTAGGGCCGTGAAGAGATTTCTTTAGTTTACACGCTTTGTTATTTTCATCATCCATCTCAAAACCAAGAGCTAAATTCATAATTACTTCTTCCTCTAGATCTCCATAGAAAAACACATCCTTAACATCAAAGCGAAGAGGTCAATCTAAATTGACAACCTAGCTTTGAACTTCTCAACACTACCATTAGCATTACATTTTATAATAAAACTCATTTGCATCCAACAGATTTCTTATCCTTCGGTAAATTTACAATGTCCCATGTGTTAACTTGTTCTAGAGCTTTCACCTAGTACAAATTTCCAATTAGAATCATCATTCAAGGTCTTTGTATATTCGTTGAAACAAACAATTCATTTTAGTTGACAAGCATTTCACAAAAGAGAAAATTGATGCAAGTGTAATATATAACCTTTATCTTTTGAAAACTAACCCAATTACGATGTTCTAACTAATGGGCTTCCAAAAGGCAAATCAGACAAATGGATCAGCAACAAAATATGGAAGACATCAAACCAGCTATGGAGATCATTAGATTTTACTTTATAATGGTTGTAAATATTAGTTGTCCGTATTTAGTGATACTTATGATATCATTATTCTAGTTTTTTCTTCATCGGTAGATGGTATTTTTCCTGGGATATAAGTGAGTTTACACTATAATTGCTAAAAGGTAGAACAAGTTATATCTTTACTTACGATATTTAACCAAAACATTTAAATTGAATTGAAGACTAATTCTAAATCTTGCTAACATAAATCTGCATGGAAATAATTCCAACCAAAATCTAAACCACTTGGAAATATATATACAAACATACATATATACATGCATGCATAAAATGAGAGAAAGAGAAAGAGCACCAACCTTGTGAACAAGTACAGTCCCAGCCAAACCTCTACGGCCAGCTATACCTCGAGGTGGAGGCAAAGCACAATCATCCCCAACAATAACAGTCTTCCAGATCAAACAAAAAATAGTTACGTTTTTTAACAAGATGTGAACTTAGAAATGGTTAATAAAAATTATATTATTATGTCTTCTAACAAAAAAAAAAGAAAAAAGCTTAATTTTAATTTGATTACCATTTTTACACATTTTCTTGACCAGCAGAAAAATGCGAAATTACCTCTACTTTATATCCCTCTGATTTTGCTTGCTCCGCAGCCAAACCAAAATTTAAACGGTCACCAGTATAATTCTGTGAACATTGATATCAAAGCACTTCTTATTAAGGTGCAAAGGAAAATGTTATGCAACATGGTTACTGAGTGAGAGCACAAGATGGAGAAATAATCTTCTATGATTCAAAAAATAAATAAATATGTGTTCATTATCCCAGATCTTTTTACATACAATTCCTAGTTTCAATGAACAACAGACAACCCATTGCTCACGCGTTGGTTATCATAAATTCCTTAAATGTTGAGATTCCAGATTTTCATTAAGAAAAAACACTAGATTTTTTCTGAACTGCGGCAAAGACAGCTCCTGAGAAATATAAAAACTCCAAAAAGACAAAAGGCTCAAAAAAAGGGCTGAATAGAAGCAACAAAGAAAAATGTTGAAAGAACCTCCAACTAAATGGAAAACCCACCAATGAGAAAAGCAGAAGTGAAACCCCAAACAAACAAAAGAGAACCACTAAACCAAACCTTCCCAAGAAGCAAAAGTACCAACCAAAAACAATCAAAGATCTTGAAGAAGTGATTGAGAAAGAGCATTTGCCTCCTTGTTTTCAAGAGGAAATTTCATTTAATTCAACCAACACTCCGATCTTCACTCTGCATCGATTTCACATGGACTTAAAGAGAGGCTTGGGAATTGTCAAGCCTCGAATCACCACTCAATTGAATGGTCCACTCACCCAACTTGAAGTTCATCTCAAACTCTGCCAATCCATTTTAACTTTTCCCAAGGTGATTAACTATTGAATTTCCATAACGACATTTACATTTCCAAGAGGAAAAGGAAAAAAGATCACTCATAATTGTTAAATCAATTAACGATAAAATCACACCTTTGCAAATTTTGTGCCCCTAAATCATATCTACAGTGCCCAACACGAGACCATAATCTAAGGATACAGATAATGGTAACCTTAATTCTTTGACAACCTCCTTAATGATAAAATCATGAGACGTTCCACTATCATTCATGATAACCACACCCTTTTTTCCGATTTATCATTGATTTCCATAGTCCTAAGTGAATCAAAACCCACCATTGAACTCAAGGAAAGCGATGCTTTATCTTGTATCAGGAACTGGTTCTCTATTGCCACTACTTTAAATTGTCCAATTGATCAACGACCACTTTAGTCAACTCAGTACCGTCTCCATCACAATCATGCACAAGTTTGCTTTGAAGTTTCCTCTTGCATCCGTGACTCGAAGCAAACTTCCCATTGCATCTGAAGCACTCTGCAATCCACTCCAAGTAAGACGTTTCCCCCTAGTTGCAGAACTCCCCTTAACACCTATCTATGGTACTTGGGTGATAGGTGTCGTCAACAATGTCACACTTCTCATAGGGTTTAGGGAAATTTTCCGGGTTAAGCTACTGGATGAATAAATTGCCTAGGCCATTGAAGTGAAGGGAGCTTCAAATTTCGAAATGGGGCCTATATTTCTATTATTAATAACTTAGGCTAATCTCATAATTTGAGCTAAGCACTGGGATAAACAATCAAAATTCCCTATGCATTTCCTCATTCAATAACCTCCAACATCAATTACGAAACATCATTTAGTGGTATTGCATCTCGCTCAAAACACATTGATATTTTCACACATGATTGTATCCTGTTTCAATGCCAAAAAAATCTCATGGAGAAAACCATATTGCATCGGCTTGAAGCATTGAAGAAGCAACTCCCAAAAGTCTACACAAGTCTTAATAAAAGTACGTGTTTCCATCCATCAGTTTCATGATAATGCCTCCTCCTCCAAACAAAGAATTGTGGCATCAAGTTTGTCTTCCTCAAGCAATCGATTAACAAAAAAGACGAATCCTCCCCCTTGAAGATAGGGAGCTCGGGCTTCCTAAATCTCATATTGAACAGCAATACTCTGCAGCTTGAGGTAAATGCACTTTTGATATCGCTTTTCACATTACTTCCCTCACCATCCTTTTTTTCTCCCCTTCAATGGTTCTTGTATGGTTTCTTTCCTTCTAACTCATTACTTTTTCCCAAAGACTCCCTAATATAATGTAGCACGGCAAACTTTCAACTCTCTAAGCCATAGCTTCCACACCATGTTCTATACT